ACAGGAGCAGATTTGCATGGAGGCCCCACCCTCCTCTGCAGCAGGGGGAGGGGATAAGAGAGGTCTGGGGGACCAGGCCCAGGGTTGGGGGCTCAGAAGGCAGTGCTCTGGGGCATCTCCACCATGGCCTGGGCTCTGCTCCTTGTCACCCTCCTCACTCAGGGCACAGGTGAGGCTCCAGGGAACGGACACGGGGACTTCTGGCTGACCCTTTGTGTCTCTGTTCTCAGGGTGACCTGGGGCTAAGCCCTAAACTAACCAGTGTGTTTTTGCTCTTTTCAGGGTCCTGGGCCCAGTCTGCCCTGACTCAGCCTCCCTCCGTGTCTGGGTCTCCAGGAAAGACGGTCACCATCTCCTGTGCAGGAACCAGCAGTGATGTTGGGTATGGAAACTATGTCTCCTGTTACCAGCAGCTCCCAGGAATGGCCCCCAAACTCCTGATATATGACGTCAATAAACGGGCCTCAGGGATCGCTGATCGCTTCTCTGGCTCCAAGTCCGGCAACACGGCCTCCCTGACCATCTCTGGGCTCCAGTCTGAGGACGAGGCTGATTATTACTGTGCCTCATATAGAAGCAGCAACAATGCGCACAGTGGTCCACGGTCATGGGGAAGTGAGACCTAAACCTGCCCTGAGCTCACTCAGCTCTTCTATCCTGAATTCAGAGTTTCATTGTTTTTCATGTGTGTGTTTTGGAAATAATTACACGTTTAAACCAAACTGGAGAGGTTTCATGAAGAACTCCTGCAGAACCTTTCCCAGAATCACTAGTTTTAATGCTTTGCCACAGGTGCTTTTTGGATATCCCCTGTCCTCTCAGACTCTGCATATCTGTCTAGATGCACATCCATTAGCACGCGTGTTCAGCGCACACACAGCCACACAGAATGTTAATTTTCAGAATCACTGGGGAACAACTTCTACCTTCCATCATCCAAGCCTTCATATTTCTTCATAAATACACTAAAGAATCCACAACATACATCAGTTTGGGGTAAATAAATCAATGGGTTTTCATATGTTCACACCTTTCAACATCCATGAAGACTCTACCTTCCAGAGTATTTTTCATCCTCATAAAGCAAAGACTTCATCCATCGCCCGCCAGTCCCCTTCCCCTGGTCCCTCCACCCTCCACACCAATCACATGCTTCCGACCAGTTCTAGATTTTTCACGTAACAGCAGTCATATCCCACGTGGCCCTTTGTGTCTGGCTTCTGTCCCCTTTTCCAGTACTCAATGATGGAGCTGTGGGTCTCGTGTAATCCCATCTTGATAGTTTTGTTTAACTCCACTCTCTGCCCAGCTGAGTCCAGGTGATTAACTACACCCAGATTTGTGAGAACACTGTTTTCTACATCACTTCAATTTACAAAAACGTTGACATGCTTTTTGGATGTGTCCTTCAAATGAGGTGCACTGAGGCCTGTCTGGGACCTGGGTGGTTTTCTATCCTTTAGGTCCCTCCCTAAAGTCTTTCCTGTGCTATTTGCTGTCAGAATCCGTGCAAGTGTGGCTCAGATTGCAGCTCAGGCTTCATGAACTATTTTCACATTAACCTTCCAGCAAATCTCCTCCTACCATCTCCTCAGTCTTCCCTGGACGCTGAGTTTATTTATCTGTCCTCCAGATCAGAAACTGTAACATTAGTTCCCCTAATCTGTTATCCCCTTCCTTTGACAGGACCTGTGACCATGTCAAGGAGCAGGAGGACACAGAGGACAGATGCAAAGGGGATGACCATCCCCTTGGTGGAAAGACAATTCCTAAATCATAGGAAATGGTCCTTCTGCCTCCAGCAGCACTGCTGCCCAGCCAGGATGCTGGGCTGGGGACAGAGAGCAGGGCACATGGCCAGGGGCCTTTGAGTGTCCCACAGTGGCTCTGACGCTGGAGCTCTCCTTCTGCCTTCTATCTTCTGCCAGATCAAGGGAAGCTATTGTGCAGCTCTTCTGTCTCAGGCCGGAGCCCTCCCAGCTTCAGGCTGCCTGAATCCAGGGGAGAATGGAACCTCACCCAACCCTAGTTCAATGATCTTCCAGTCCCAGTGTCTCCCCCCAAATGCTCTGATCGATTCCTTTTCTTGGCACCCGAGTAGCTACTCCACGACTTCTGTCTGGGTTTTATAGGTCCATTTGGTGGGAGAAAAAATGTGTATTTACTTCATGTTATGTGAAATCAGGATGCAATGGTACAGTTTTAAATTTGGCAAAACTGAAGGAGTCAGAACAAGTGTGGGATGAAAATGGGAAAGCTGAGCAAGAGTTTTAAAGCACTGAAGGAGAAAAACTGGAGGAAATATTTTCCTAGTGATCTTCAGTGTTCCTGGGTTCAGAGGTCACTTCTATGTTGACCTGGGGACATGGGAAGGTGGAGCCTACAAACAGCAAAATCACATCTTGTGAGCAGAGCAATAACACAAAGATGAAATGGGATGAAATCTTTGACCATCTATTGCATAATAAATGTCACAGCCGTGGGCACAGAAATGCCCCTTTCTGACAGCTGCTCTCCTCTCATTCATCCCCTCGGAAGTCAGGACACCAGACACTGGGCTCATGGCAGTCATGTCTCCTGTGATAATCAGAAGGGGAAGAGGACAGTTCTCTCTGCAGGGGACTAAGGGCACAATGGGGAGGGCATGCTCGGAGTTAGGTCGCGGTTCCTGCCTGGTGTCCCCTGTTCATCTGGGTGGACTCATGCTTGTGCTCCTGGTCCTCAGGGGCAACTCTGGGGGTGGCTTGGGGGTCAGTGATCTACTTGAGCTTATAAGAAAAACACGCCTAGGTCCAGTGAGCAAAAGTTTAACTCAAGTCACAAAAAGAGAGTCACAGCCACTCAATCAATGGATTCCCAGG